ACACGCACACACACACACACACACACACACACACACACACACACACACACACACACACACACACACACACACACACAACACACACACAAACACACACAAACACACACAAACACACACAACACACACATACATATATATATATATATATATATATATATATATATATATATTATATATATATATATATAATATATTATATATATATATATATATATATCAATGCACCACGCAGAAACAAGCGGGTATATACAAAGAAAGATCTCAATCCCAGGATCCGACCCACACCAGTCGATTAATATCCAGGCACCAAAATATTTTACTGATGGGTGAACAGGGACGGCAGGTGTCTTATGGAAACACGTCCTAATGTTTCCAGCCGTACCAAGGATTACATCCCCGGACCTCAGTGTGTGAGCTGAGTGCGCTAGCAATCGACCTGACACCTAGATACATGTAGGCAAGTAAGTTCATTTAGGTACAATTTTACACAATTTTTGGATACCTGGAGAAGGCTTCGGGGGTCAACGCCCCCGCGGCCCGGTCTGTGACCACCCCTCATGTGGGTGCAGAATTGCTATAAGACAAACCCATAGACTCTAATATGATTCAAGAAAAAATAAAGTTATTGAGTGACGTCTTCGAGCATAAATAAGGAAGGTGGAGGATCTTAAGTTGGAGAATAATGCCAGAAAGGGATGGTTTGATCATTTTAGAAAGAGGTTTGGCTCCATTGGTAACGCACTCAGCTCACACACTGAAGTCCAGGGGTCGATCCCCGGTACAGCTCGAAACATTAGGACGTGTTTCCTTAAGACACCTTCTGTCCAATGTTCACCCATCCGGAAAATAGGTACCTGGATGTTAGTTAACTGGTGTGATTATAATTGCCTTATATAGTCACCTATGTGTAAATTATCTACGATAACACACAGTCTCACAAAGTGACTTATTTCCAATGGAAATATTGCATTCAGCAAAAAATCAATCACGATAGCTAACAATACTCGTAAAAATACAACAGAGTAAATCAAATGCATGAAAATGAATTACATGAGCACTAAAAAAAAGGAATCATCGGAATATAACAGTTACACGAGAACTCACTTTCATTTAGCACAGGAGATACAAATGTAAGGTCAGTTGCCTAGTCATCTCGTCCCACGCGGTAATCGAACCCGCGGCCTTAAGTGAGCCCACTCAGGTATAAATCACTGTGACTCTAATGTCGGGTATATAGAGGCGGTGTTATGGTGATGGTGGTTGTGGGTGGTGGTGTTATGGTGGTTGTGGGCGGTGGTGTTATGGTGGTTGTGGGCGGTGGTGTTATGGTGGTTGTGGGCGGTGGTGTTATGGTGCTTGTGGGTGGTGGTGTTATGGTGGTTGTGGGCGGTGGTGTTATGGTGGTTGTGGGCGGTGGTGTTATGGTGATGGTGGGTGGTGGTGTTATGGTGGTTGTGGGCGGTGGTGTGATGGTGCTTGTGGGTGGTGGTGTTATGGTGGTTGTGGGCGGTGGTGTTATGGTGCTTGTGGGTGGTGGTGTTATGGTGGTTGTGGGCGGTGGTGTTATGGTGGTTGTGGGCGGTGGTGTTATGGTGCTTGTGGGTGGTGGTGTTATGGTGGTTGTGGGTGGTGGTGTTATGGTGGTTGTGGGCGGTGGTGTTATGGTGGTTGTGGGCGGTGGTGTTATGGTGCTTGTGGGTGGTGGTGTTATGGTGGTTGTGGGCGGTGGTGTCATGGTAGTTGTGGGCGGTGGTGTTATGATGGTTGTGGGCGGTGATGTCATGGTGGTTGTGGGCGGTGGTGTTATGGTGATGGTGGTTGTGGGCGGTGGTGTTATGGTGATGGTGGTTTTGGGCGGTGGTGTTTATGGTGGTGGTGGTGGATGGTTGGGGCGGTGGTGTTATGGTGGTGGGTGGTTGTGAGCGGTGGTGTTATGGTGGTTGTGCGCGGTGGTGTTATGGTGGTGGTGGTGGGTGGTTGTGAGCGGTGGTGTTATGGTAGATGTGGGCGGCGGTGTTATGGTGGTGGTGAGTAGTTGTGGGCGGTGGTGTTATGGTGGTTGTGGGCGGTGGTGTTATGGTGGTGGTGGTGGGTGGTTGTGGGCGGCGGTGTTATGTGGTGGTGGGGTGGTGGGCGGCGGTGTTATGGTGGTGGTGGGTGACTGTGGGCGGTGGTTTTATGGTGGTGGTGGGTGGGTGTGGGCGGTGGTGTTATGGTGGGTGTGGGTGGTGGTGTTACGGTGGTTGTGGGCGGCTGTTTTAGGGTGGTGGTGGGTGGTTGTGGGCGACGGTTTTATGGTGGTGGTGGGAGGCGTTGTGGTGCATGTGGGTGGTGTTAAGGTTATGGTAGAGGTGGGTGTTGGCGGAGGTGGGCAGAGGAATGGTGGTGGCAGCGGTGTTGCAGTGATGATGGGCGGTGTTATAGTCGTGGTGGCGGTGTTGCAGTGATGGTGGGCGGTGTTATAGTGGTGAAGGCGGTGTTATAGTAAGTTTATTCAGGTATATACAAATACAGTTACATAATCATACATAGCAACATATGTGTAGAGAACCTGGGATAACCCAAAAAAAGTCAGTGACTTATTGCCACTGGGGTCCTAGTCATAATTATTATTTATATTAAAAAGTTAAAAGCAGGTAAGTACCTTAACTATGTAAAAACAGTTACCATAAAAGAAGATATACTAGGGAGAGGTAAAATTAGTTATTTTCACACAAGAAATGACTCTCCTCCCTTTCTGTAGCCTTATTCATGAGGTATATTTTGGCTCTCTTCTTGAACTGGCTCATGCTATGGCAGGCTTTGACACCTCGCCGGGTCACTATCTGGAAAAGACCCGGACCGGGACAAGACCGGCGAACCTACTACATACAGGCTTTGACATGTATAGGCAGCCTATTCCATTTGAGGGCCTGGTCCCAAATCTGCACACTGCTATAACAACATGCTGGAATGAGAGATATGGGAGGAAGTGCAAAATAAACCTAGTGAGGAGCAGGGGTGCGGTGGGGACAATAAGGGAACACTGTATCAACATCCGGGGTCCCAGGCTATTCAACATCTTACCAGAAAATATCAGAAACACGGCTGGAGCAAGTGCAGAAGCCCTCAAGAGGAAACTGGACAAATATCTTCACCAGGTAAATCACTTGTTCTCTCTAGGCTGGAATACTGCTGTACATTAACATCCCCATTCAAGGCAGGTGAAATTGCAGATCTGGAGAATGTACTGCACGTATAAGTTCCATCAAATACCTTAACTACTGGGAACGCCTGGAAGTACTTGGTTTGTACTCATTGGAGCGCAGGCGAGAGAGATATATCATAATCTACACCTGGAAGATTCTGGAGCAACTGGTTCTTAATCTGAACACAGGAGTCACTGCCTATGAAAGCAAAAGATTTGGCAGGCGATGCAACATACCCCCAGTGAAAAGTAGGGGCGTCACTGGTACACTGAGAGAAAACACAATAAGTGTCCGGGACCCAAGCCTATTCAACAGCCTCCCACCAGCCATAAGGGGCATTACCAATAGACCCCTGGTTGTCTTCAAGAGGTAGCTGGACAGATACCTAAAGTCAGTGCCGGATCAGCCGGGCTGTGGTTCGTACGTTGGACTACGTGCGGCCAACAGTAACAGCCTCGTTGATCAGGCCCTGATCCACTGGGAGGCCTGGTCGTGGACCGGGCCGCGGGGGCGTTGATTCCTGGAATGCCCTCCAGGTAGATTTCAGGTAGGCGCCAGATCAACCAGGCAGTGATGGATATGTGGGGCAGTGGGCCTTCAGCAGCAACAGCCTGGTTGACCAGGCAAGCACCAGACGAGCCTGGCCCATGGCCGGGCTCCGAGAGTAGTGAAATTCTCGAAACTCTTCAAAGGTATATCAAAGGTAGAAAAATGTCTTTGAAGCCTGACCACTGACTCTAGGTACTGCAAAGTTGTTCTCCATTCCCGTAGTTCTTATGGTGAAGGTGACAGTGTAATAATAATAATAATAATAATTATTATTATTATTATTTCTACACGTGCATGATACAACTTATACAGACCTACTATACAGAAAGCCCCTGGTTATGCAGAGCATATCGGGCAATTTACGTTAATTTTGTCCCCAGGATGCGACTCACGCCAGTCAACTAACGCCCAGGTACCTACTCAATGCTAGGTGAACAGGGGAAGTAGATGCCTTAAAGAAGCACGCCCAATGTTTCCACCTGTACAGGGGATCGAACCACGGAGATTCAGTGTGTGAGTTGAGTGCGCTACCAACCAAGCTGCTGGTGTTGGCAGTGTTATGGTGATGGTGGGCGGTGTAATGGTGGTAGTGTTATGGTGGTGGCAGTTGTCAGAGTTGGGGAGAGGAAGAGAGGAGGTCATCGTTTTCTCCCACGACTTAAGTTAGCAGCTACAACTTCTCTAACCATAACGAGTCGGACTTTCCCAAGTGTCAGAGTTGTAAGGCGCTCAGCACGGCTGTGTGGGAGGACGGTGGGCGGACGGGAGAGTATGTGTAGGAACGGGAAGGGAAGAGGGGGCGTTTGGGAGCTTCGGTGGATAAGGGAGAAGAAAGGGGAAACTGGGAATAGAGGAGATATGATAGTTCTTGAGGGCCACAAACCAAATAAGTCATACTATATCTTAGACATCTTGAGTTAGATTTACATAATTTATTACCAGTGTGTGTCTGTAGCTATTGTTTAATCCAACCATTGTATAATTTTTTAAGTGTATGTAGAATCATATGTAAAGAACATGAATGAATGAGGCTGATCGTATCTTGAGGGGCACATGCTAGATGGGGTGACAGATGAGAGATTGTTGTAATGCTGCGTAATGGAGGGAGTGGGAAACAGTGAGATGGAGGGTGGAGTCAGAATTGGAGTGAGGGGGAGGGAAGGATGAAGGGAATGTGATGGAGAGAGGGGGGAGTGATAGAGAGAGAGAGAGGAAGGGATGGAGAGAGGGCGGCTGCGCGGGGAGGGAGTAGTGTTGCGTGGGGCGGCGTTACCAGAGGCAGCACACCATGTAAACACAGAGTAGGGAGCGGGGCCACAGTGACCCGAACACTGTGTTGGTGACCACTGCTCTCATCTCTGTTCCCTCCCTCCACAACCTGGCGCCCTCCCTCCATCCTCTTGATCCCTCCACCCCACCCTCAACACTCCACACTCTCCCAGCCAGGGAAGTGTAGTGCTATCACTGGATGTGTGCTGTGTGTACTGAGTGTAGTTGCAGTTACAAGGAGATATATAAAATAAGGAGGTATTAGGGCAAGTTATCACAAGCTGAGGCATTGATCTGACCCGACCAGTGCCTGTTGCTGCAGGCTACACGCCTCTGTTTCAACAAGTTGATGTCACATCTCCTACAATACACTACTTAAGCATCAAGTTTTTTCCACGTTTGAAAAACTAGATGAAAGAGTGAAAAAGTGTAATAAAAACATTTTTTTTTTCTGTTCAGCTTCCAAACTGACTGACAGTCACTTATTAATATGTGAAAGGAATTAGAACCTCAAGAAAACAATATCAATTAAAGACATAAAAGTTTCTCTTAGAAAGAAACGTTGTACTCCCAAGCAAAGCGAATAGAGACCTTCACAAGCAGTGCCTCGCCTGGCGACTGGCATAGATAAGTTGACGTCACAGGTGAGTGCCAGATAGTAGTCTATGTTCAGTGACACAAACGACACTGAAGAGAATATAATTTTTATGCCCTGCATGTATAACGTCTATTCCATATAAGAAACCTTTGTAACAAATGTATCTTCTTTAAAATTATTATTATTATTATTATTATTATTATTATTATTATTATTATTATTATTATTTCTTGGTATTATAAACATGTACCACAAGACAGGAACAAAAGTACCGTGCAGGTCACTCAAAGTAGAGTAGTACTATGTTTTGTGACTCAAATTATTATTATTATTATTATTATTATTATTATTATTATTATTATTATAGTTCCATCTCCTTAGATGAAGAGCCCTTCAACAGCATGGAGGTACTTCACATGTTACAACACAGTACTGTGTAAAGTGTAGGCTACTCACCACCACATAACAACATATATACAATACTAGAAGAGCACAGTAGTCACACGTGTTGGTAATTACTCCGTTCACAAGCCAGTGTCGTAGTACACAAGTGTTGTAACATGATCTCTCTCTCTCTCTCTCTCTCTCTCTCTCTCTTTAATTTCCCAGTTTATGTGTGGAGAATTTTCTAGTTGGCACTCTTGTAGTTCATAACAACCATCTTCTGAACACTAGTTCATAACAACCATCTGCTGAACACTAGCTCATAACTATCTGAACACTAGTCCATGGCACCCGTCTGCTGAACATTAGTTCATAACAATCATCTAGTGAGCACTCTTGTAGTTTATAACCATCTAGTGAACACTTGTAGTTCATTATAACCATCTAGTAGCATTTATAGTTCATAACAACCATCTGGTGAACACTCTTGCAGGTCACAACATTACTGAGTCCCTCAGGACATATATACAAACCTCCCTCTGTAATCCACATGAGTCTTCTTTAAGTCAGTGGCCAACACTGTCAATGCACATCTTCTCTTTGCTGAGGATATTCTGTCCAGGACAGACAACGTCACATTCTCTCTATATTCAGGATATCCTGCCCAGAACGCACAACGTAAACACACATATCCCCTCAGTACTAAGGATGGTCTGGCGAACAAACACCCAAACTTAGTGTGGTGGCGAATGTTGCTTAAGTTTGTTTGACAATCTGTTCCCTTGAGAATCAAGGCTCAGCTGCAGCTGGGTACAAATCACAGGATGACCAACTCGGTTAGTTTACTTCCAACTGGTTGCCAAGGGAGTTACTGTATGTGTTTACTGCCATGATGAATGAAATTAAATAATACATTAACAGGGGGTTCAGGAACGCCCTGACGGGGTCTTTCAGGTCTCACAGGCTTGGTAAGAATCTACCTCTTCACACAACGAATTATGTTCTGTGTATTCTCCTGACACACCACTGAGTCTGATGGTGAGTCAGATTCAAACGTTGTGCTGTCGACAATAGTGAAGAAAAGATATGATGCAGGGCTTGACAAACCTCTACACAGAACGAAACCATGTCAAAATTAAAGTCAGTACTGCAACGTGTGTTATTTTCTCGCCATAGAACCAACGGCTATCACATTCGCATCTCCTGATAGTAGACACCACCGTCTACAGTGGTGTCTATTGGCGGGTGCTTATAGCCTCGCAATATGCAGTTGTCATAGTGTCGACGGATGCTACACTTTCATCTCTGCAAGTAGCACCGCCACCTGTAGCAGCGCACACCAGGGGCTGCTTGTTTCTGGGCCTCCGCCAGGCGGCCACTAGCGCCCTCTCATGCAATCAAGATCCGCGTCAGGTGAGTGTCCCTGATGAAGGTAAGGATATTCTCGACCAACATAGTTAACAATGTATCGGTTGTACTGTTAACAGCGTGTTCCATTGAATGTTGCTCCTTCAGTCCCACCGGCCGAGGGAAAGTTACCCGAAACCAGACTTCTTGGTTGATGGCCTGATCAACCAGGGTGTTGGTGCTAGCCACACGTAGTCCGACATATGTATCCTTGCCCGGCTGATCAGGAACAAAGTCCAGGAAATCATCCAGTACCAGCAAGAAATGTGGCACTGCGAGTCATATCATGGCCCGAGAGTGCCAAACTTAGCCAATAATGATCTGGAAGTGAAAGCAATTACAGGGAGGCGCAGCCAAGTGAGGGGCGGGGAGGGGAAGGGGAACAGTTAAGTGAGGGGGCGGAGAGGGGGAAAGAGTAACCAATTGAGGGGGGAGGGTAAGGGCAGAGAGAAAGCCAGGTGAGGCGCTCTATCAATTCATCCATCCACCCATTGATATTTCCTCGCTGTAAGATGACAGGTCCATCTTACAACACAAAGAATACTGAAAAACAGTTTGTTGATACCGACAAGATGTGGCAAAAAGAAATTTATGTGCTTCTACCATAACTACTAATACTGCTGCTACTACCGTAACTACTAATACTGCTGCTACTACCATAACTACTAATACTGCTGCTACTACCATAACTACTAATACTGCTGCTACTACCATAACTACTAATACTGCTGCTACTACCATAACTACTAATACTGCTGCTACTACCATAACTACTAATACTGCTGCTACTACCATAACTAAATAATACTGCGGGTACTACCATAACTACTAAACTGCTGCTACTACCATAACTACTAAAACTGCTGCTACTACCAAACTACTAATAATGCTGCTACTACCATAACTAAATAATACTGCTGCTACTACCAAACTACTAATACTGCTGCTACTACCATAAAATACTAATATGCTTGCTACTACCATAACTACTAATACTGCTGCTACTACCATAACTACTAATACTGCTGCTACTACCATAACTACTAATACTGCTGCTACTACCACTACTAATACTGCTGCTACTACCATAACTACTAATACTGCTGCTACTACCATTACTAATACTGCTGCTACTACCATAACTACTAATACTGCTGCTACTACCATAACTACTAATACTGCTGCTACTACCATAACTACTAATACTGCTGCTACTACCATAACTACTAATACTGCTGCTACTACCATAACTACTAATACTGCTGCTTCTACCACAACTACTAATACTGCTGCTACTACCATAACTAATACTGCTGCTACTACCACAACTGCTAATACTGCTGCTACTACCACAACTACTAATACTGCTGCTACTACCATAACTACTAATACTGCTGCTACTACCATAACTACTAATACTGCTGCTACTACCACAACTACTAATACTGCTGCTACTACCATAACTACTAATACTGCTGCTACTACCATAACTACTAATAAATGCTGCTACTACCATAACTACTAATACCCGCAGCTACTACCATAACTACTAATACTGCTGCTACTACCATAACTACAATACTGCTGCTACTACCATAACTACTAATACTGCTGCTACTACCAAACAAATAATACTGCTGCTACTACCATAACTATTAATACTGCTGTTACTACCATAACTACTAATACTGCTGCTACTACCACAACTACTAATACTGCTGCTACTACCATAACTACTAATACTGCTGCTACTACCTAACTACTAATACGCTGCTACTACCATAACTACTAATACTGCTTGCTACACCACAACTACTAAAACTGCTGCTACTACATAACTACTAAACTGCTGCTACTACCATAACTTTCTAAAAACGCTGCTACACCATAACTACTAATACTGCTGCTACTACCACAACTACTAATACTGCTGCTACTACCATAACTACATACTGCTGCCACACCACAACAACTAATACTGCTGCTACTACCACAACTACTAATACTGCTGCTAATACCACAACAAATAATACTGCGCTTTCTACCATAACTACTTAATACTTGCTGCTAAATACCATTACTACAATACTGCTGCCTACTACCACAACTACTAATACTGCTGCTACACCATAACTACTAATACTGCTGCTACTACCATAACTAGCAATACTGCTGCTACTACCACAACTACTAATACTGCTGCTACTACCACAAAATACTAATACTGCTGCTACTACCACAACTACTAATACTGCTGCTACTACCATAACTACAAATACTGCTGCTACTACCACAACTACTAATACTGCTGCTACTACCACAACTACTAATACTGCTGCTAATATCACAACTACTAATACTGCTGCTACTACCATAACTACTAATACTGCTGCTACTACCACAACTACTAATACTGCTGCTACTACCATTACTAATACTGCTGCTACTACCACAAATAATAATACTGCTGCTACTACCAAACTTTCTAATACTGCTGCTACTACCCCTTACTAATACTACTTCCCACTACCACAACTGCTAATACTGCTGCTACTACCACAACTACTAATACTGCTGCTACTACCATAACTGCTAATACTACTGCTACTACCACAACTGCCAATACTGTTGATACTACCACAACTACTAATACTGCTGCTACTACCATAACTACTAATACTACTGCTACTACACAAACTGCTAAAAACTGTTGATACTACCACAACTACTAATACTGCTGCTACTACCACAACTACTAATACTGTTGATACTACCACAACTACTAATACTGCTGCTACTAAGACAACTACTAATACTGCTGCTACTACCACAACTACTAACACTGCTGCTACTATCATAACTACTAATACTACTGCTACTACCACAACTACTAATACTGCTGCTACTACCATAACTACTAATACTGCTGCTACTACCACAACTACTAATACTGCTGCTACTACCACAACTACTAATACTGCTGCTACTACCATAACTACTAATACTGCTGCTACTACCACAACTACTAATTCTGCTGCTACTACCACAACTACCAATACTGTTGCTACTACCACAACAACTAATACTAACTGACCACATCGACTCAAGGTTGAGGGACTGATTACCTCATTCTCCTCCTATTCTTCAAGATTCTCCTTTGTATGGACTGATGAAGCCACTGTGTGGCGAAACGTTTCCTCAATAAAGATACCCAAGAGTTGCACATGTGTCTAATTTATCAACTAATACTGCTGC